GATAGAGTTATTACCTTAGCACCAGGTCCAGATCTGTGAAGTTCAGATTCCTCCAGGTGGGTGTTGTTTGGATCTGGCTGCTGTGCTCCACTTAATTCTGCTGCAGCAGTTAGAGTTGAACCCTTTGTGTCACTCTGGCAAGATGTTCTGCTCCTGAATCAGCTGGGTGGGTCTTGCCTCTAGCCTCTTTGCAGGGAGTTCTGCCGAAGGGTTCCGTGCTGGGTCTGCAGCCTGGGTCAGATGAGGATCCCTGGGCCCCGGGTCGTCTCATTCACTCGCCAGGCCTGCGCTCCGGGTCTGTTCAGGATACCGCGGCCCAGTCATCTCACTCACTCGCTGGGCCTGCGCTCTGGGTCTCCAAAATATTTTTTTAATCTTTGAAACAAGGTCTAACTACATTAGTGATGGTGAACCTATGGCACACGTACCATAGTGGGCATGCAAACCCTTCTCTGTTGGTACATAAGCCAAGGTACCCCAACATTACACCAGGAGCTTAATGTTGGATATCAGGTTTAATTGCAGTGTGGTCCTTTGCTACAAATGACTTCTGGGTTGCAATTTGGGCATTTGGTTCGCCATCAATGTACTACACTGTATAGACAGAACTCAAACTTGTGATCTTCTTGCCTCAGCCTCACAAGTGCTAGGATTACAGGGATATGCCACTATACCTAGCTCAGGTTTAATTCCTAATTTGTCAATTTTTGAGGTCCATAGAGATAGCTCAACAAAAGCACCTGCCTGGCAAGTGCAAGGTCCTGAGTTCGGTCTCCAGTACTGAAAAAAAAAAAAAAAAATGAAAAAAAAAAAAAAAAAGTGAAATTTGCCAGTTTTTGGACTGTCTCCAGAAATTACTCATTAATTTTTATCTAATTTTTTATAGGGAAGTCTGAAAGATTTAGAAAATGTCTCTTAAACAATAGATTGAGATGAAGAACTACATTAAAGGGCTATTTACAGATAGATGTTACCTACTAAACCCTGCCAGGCTGGCGTATTTGTGATCAAGCTGAGTAGAATGAGATACAGGTAGTATTTTATGTAACACTTTCAGAAGTTATACCACATGAGTAAAAGTAGATCTTTTCAAATCTAATCAATAAATACTATATTTAGATGCTCACTAGATAAATCAGAATAAAGAATGTTTAATAAATTCAACATCAATTAGTCATCTTTATTAGGAAGAGGAAGAAAATGCCACTTGTTTTGGGGTTAGAGCACCATTTGATAGTTACAGATTCTCAATTTACAATGGATTACATCCCATAAGCACATTGTTAGGTTGAAAATTTCCTTAGGTTGAAAATGCATTTAACACATCTGCCTTACTGTGCATCATAGCTCAGCAGCTCAGTATCCTGTAGAATATCTGTTCATGGTGTGATTGTGTGGTTGACCAGGTCATGGCTCACTGCTGCTGCTCAGCATTGTGAGTACAGTATTGTAACTCCTGTTAGTAGTCTGGGAAAAAACATTTAAAAATTACAATGAGGTTTCTGTTGAACGTCTATTGGATTCACACCATCATAAAGTCAAAAATTGTAAGTTGAGCCCTCTTCAGTGGCACAGTATTTACATATGAAATTCAGGCAGTTTTAGGGTTATTTCTCATGTAGCTGGTAGAGTTAGGTATTGTAAATTTTATATTGTTAGGTGTTAAATATGACATAGAGATATCTTATGATGGGATAAGAGAAAATTGTACAATAATACGAGGAAGCGCACCATTAACTTTAAAGAAGATAAAGGAATACTGCAGGAGGGACCAATAAACAGTTCAATTTCATTTAGACAATGTTTATTTCATATATTTGTTAGGCTACACCATGAAATTTTTTGTTTTGCTATTATAACAATTAAGTAAAAAACACATTTCATTGAAAAAATACTTCTAAGCTTAAGCGTTTAACATATAAATATACTGCACAAAGACTACCTATTCACAAATTACTATGTACATTGTTTCTAAAACACATAACATTTATAAAAGTATACTTGTAAATGGCTGCAATGTTTTCAGCTCTAGATAACAGAAAAATTGCTTTGTAAAGTGCCATGTAGTAAATATCTTGGGCTCTGTGTTTGATTTGGTCTCTGTCAAAACTACTCAACTCTGCTGATGTAGTGTAAAGGCAGCCACAGGCAAGCAACTAAGAAATGAGATTTGTCTCTGTGAGTGTTCTCAACATACCTTATTTGTGGACAATGAAATTTCAATATTCCACAAAATATTAATTTCAGCCATTTAATAATAAAAATTATTCTCAGTTTATAAGCTACAAAAATGGACCGTGGGCTAGATCTAGCTGATGGGCTATACTTTGTCATCTCTTCCTAACCCAGTCAGGATCTACTTCTGAATTACTAGAAAAAAGCTAAAAAAAAAAAAGCAAAAAGCAAAGGAAAAAGGAAAAATCAAGGCACTAGCAGCAATAATATGAGATAATATTTTGTCACCTTTTTTTGGTACAGTAAATCAGGATTGTAAACTAAAATAATATCTAATAATATCTTGAGTCTGAGACACTATTCTAGTTGCTTTAAAAATATTAACTCATTTCAACTTCAAAGTAATCCTATGACATTATTAATGCTACTATTACAGAAAAGGTACTGAGGCACAGTGGGAGATGAGTGTCAGACCCCATGCTGGCATCTGAGCCAAGGCAATAAGAGCCTGGAGTCCACAATTCAAGTAAAAACTACATTTTGTTTAAAAATTACTTCTAAGCTTCAACTTTCAACATATAAATATGCTCCACAAAACTGCTTATGCACAATTACTGTGTACATAATTTCTAAAACACATGACATTTATAAAAGTATACTTGTAAATGGCTGCAATGTTGCCAGCTTTCGGTAACAGAAAACGTACTTTGTAAAGTAAGTTTAATCATTATGCTATGTTACTTCTACCAGGATAAAAAAGGCAGGGAAGAACATTTAGGACTCTGATTCTGAATACAGACACAGATAGCTCTACCCTGATCAAACTTGAACAGATGAGGTAAGAGAAATTATATTTCTTGTATAGCACTCAGTTTTTGTTATATTAAGTGCAATAATTCTACTGTTTTCAGGTACTTTAAAAGCAGTTCAGGCTTTTGCAAAAATAAGTATGGTCCTAATTCAAAATTTGGCTGACCACATAGCTGAACATTTCACAAAAAGGTTTTAGTTCCATTTTAAAATGTTAGTCAGTAACTGTATATTTAAGTGCCAGGAAGAAGGCAGAAAAGACACACTATAATTTAAAGAGTATTGCACATTGCACTATAGTATATATTAACAACAGGAGTCACCTGTGAGACAATGGGTTACATCTTCCTACACATAAGTTACTGAGCTGAGGTGATATGTTTTCCTATATACAACTATGATATGTGTTCACATGTATGTTAGACATCTATAAGTTATAATTTGTTGCATACTTACATACATAAGCCCTAAACTAAGACTCTTCATGTCTATTTAATGATGCTGCCTGATAATTCATTTTGGCTTTAAAAACATTTTTTTAATCTGTAGATATTTGCAGGTTTCTTTAAAAAGAACAAGTAATTTTGGAATCTGTAATACAACTTATAGTATAAGCGCTTCCCTCAGTACAAATTATTTTCTTTTTAGGTGCAAATCTTTCAAATATCTATAAAGGTATTATCCAAGCACTGATGTGACATTCAATGGAACATCAGTTCTTGATAAAGACATATATTTCCTGCAATCTTTGCACTTATCCCCTTTGAATTCTCTAATATGTGAGAGCAATGTGTGTAAAAGTGGAATACTCAAGATACCCTCAGGAATTTCTTACACATGTGAGAAATTTCATTGAATGTGAGCTTTTCATTGTGTAGTGTTGGCTGCCCTGACAGAAAACTTGACATTCATTTTACTTACAGATTTTTCCTGTGTGATTTCTATGCTATAAAGTAATGACTTCTAAAATAAAATTTTTGTGTTATAATTTGTACAGTTTCTGCCATCTATAAGGTATGACAGTCAAGTCTAGTGAGTGGAAAACTTCTCCTGAATAACTGTGTAAAACTTTTTTTCTCAGTGCATTTGCTAATATTCTACAAGGTCAAATTTGGCATAAAAGTTTTCTTCTTAATGATATGCATGTGGTTTCTCTCCTGTGAATCATATGATTATGCTGAAGGATAAGTTCAGACAGAAATTCCTGATCCATACTATTTATCAGCTTTCTCCTTCTGTGTATGTGTTTTTTGATGTGCTGTGAGTTGTGACTTCTGGATAAAGGTTTCTCCACATTCCTGACACTCATAGGGCTTCTCTCCTGTGTGTTTTCTCTGATGTATGATAAAATGTGATTTCTGAGAAAAAGATTTTCCACATTCCTTGCATTCATAGGGCTTCTCTCCTGTGTGAGTCCTCTGATGTAATCTGAGGACTGAATTCACAGAGAAAGATTTACCACATTCTGTACATTCATAAGGCTTCTCCCCTGTGTGTTTTCTGTGATGTTTAGTGAGGTCTGACTTATAGAAGAAGTGTTTGCCACATTTATTACATTCAAAGGGCTTTTCCCCTGTGTGAGTTCTCTGATGTACTGTGAGGGCTGATTTCTGGTAGAAGAATTTCCCACATTCCTTACATTCATAGGGTTTCTCTCCTGTATGAGTTCTCTGATGGGTTTTGAGGTGTGAATTCCTAGTGAATAACTTCCCACATTCCTTACATTTATAGGGTTTCTCCCCTGTGTGTGTTCTCTGATGTACTGTGAGATGTGACTTCTGGGAGAATGACTTCCTACATTCCTTGCACTCAAAGGGTTTCTCCCCTGTGTGTGTTTTCTGATGAACCATGAGGTATGCTTTCACATAGAAGAACTTCCCACATTCAGTACACTCAAAGGGTTTCTCCCCTGTGTGCGTTTTCTGGTGTTCCATGAGGTGTGGCTTCTGGTAGAAGGATTTCTCACACTGACTGCATTCATAAGGTTTTTCCCCTGCATGAGTTCTTAGATGTCTATTAAGAGATGACAGATGGTAGAAGATCTTCTTACATTCTTTACATTCATAGGTTTTATCTCTAGTGTGACTTTTCTCATGAACTGTGAGTTCTTCATTTTTAGAAAAGGATTTCCCACATTTACCACAATCATAAGACTTGTTCTCAAAGTGCGTATCCCGATGGACTGTAAAGGCAGTCTTCTGGCAGAAGGTCTTTCCACATTCATTACATTCATAGCTCTCTACTTGGCGATAAGTTTTCTGAAGTTTTTTGAGTTCTCCAGTCCTACATAAAAATTTTTAGATTTATTAATAGGTAAGACTTTTAAGACTCTGTGTGTGTGTGTGTGTGTGTGTGTGTGTGTGTGTTTATTTTTCAGGTAACTCTGAGGACCAACTTCCAACGATGTTCCCATATCCACTAGGTTCACAAGGCTTCACCATTGTCAATACTCTCACATTCTGCAGTTTACTGCTGGAAAGAATGAACCTTCACATGCATTATGCAGTAGGATTTTCCAGCTGACTGCACTCTACTTTGGATAATTTAGAAGAAGCAAAAGATGACTTCCATGTTTGAATCTCCCGATCCTACTATAGAGTGTTATGTAAAATGGCATTGCCATTTTGACTATATTCTTTGGGATTCACTCCCATGTCAGTTTCCCCATATTTAGTATTAACTAATACTCTCCCATTCCAAGAACCCCCATCAAGACTTGCCACAAAGCTTCTACTTTAAACATAATTGTTACACTTGCCTTGAATTATCAGCTGGGCTCTTCTGGTTCCCTGCACCATGCTCATGGATATTCCGTAGGTTTTCTACAAGGAAATTGAGATTTTTTTAAAAATTTTTTTTTATTTTTCAACAAATAATACACTGCATATATTCTTCTTAGTGGTTAATTGCTGTACAAGATGCGGACTTGTGATCCTATTTACAAACACCATTAGAACAAATCATTCTATTCATTAACAGAATGTAACTATATATCTATCCCAACCACTTTGAATACACAGATACAAAATGGACATTCATCTGTATAACCCATTTTTCTAAATTCCGTTATTGAATATTATAGGTGTGTAAACTCAGCAAAATATTCTAAAAGAGTCCAGTAGTCTATAATAGCATTGGGTCTTCTGTTTAACTGGCAATGTCAGAAATTATTGACCTGAGTCCCCCACAGCTCAACTTAACAGCATGGCTTTATTTCTTATAATTTCGTCTTCATACTTTTCTGCTGGATGGTTAAGATCAAGGTAAAGCAGGACCTGTGCAACAAGAGTTGTAGCTTTTTGGTCTGAGAAGGTCAGTGAAATGCCCTCAGGATTTGTCCTGAGATTCTGTACCTCAGATTGTAGAACCTTTATCAGTGCAGTCATGTGGATGAGTCACGGCCAATGCTTGGCCAATGTGCTCTCTGTGAAAGCCTGAGAGAGTATCTTCTCCCCATGTGACTCTCCTTAGGCCCACTCTATGTCATCAATCACTTTCCTCTTTGGCCCCATAATCTTCTTGATCAGAAAATTTGGGACACTACCGAGGTACATGACGTTACAGTACAAGTTCTCATATGTCCTGAGTCTTAATTGACCTTAGAAGGCTAGGGCCAAAATGTTGGCTTTCCTTGTATCCCTCCTTTTTCTCTAATTTTGGTCTGCAAACTTAGGTTGTTAACCATCCAGAGGAAATTGAGATTTTAACACACTTATATTTATAGAGTTGATTCTTAGGCTTCAGGCCAAATGCCAAAATTAAAGAATTCAAATGGAAACCTCCTTTGCCTATTATTTTGGAAAAATAAAACTTTAAGAAATTCTGTAGCAAACTGGAAGGAACCTGATTATAACCTAAGCATCTCTCCCACTTCTACAAATGTGACTTTAAAACCATGCAGGTAAAAGCTAAGACAAAAACAACATAAAGTTTTCAATTCTTTTGGAAAAAACACCTAGAAGGGGAATAGCTAGGTCAAATAGGCCCTCTAATCCTAGGTTTTTGAGGACTCTCCACACTGATTTCCAAGTGGTTGTACCAATCTACACTCCAACCAATAATGGAGAAGTGTTCCTTTTCCCCCACAGCCTCACCAGCCTTTGTTATTGCTTCATTTCTTGATATTAGCCATTCTTTCTGTGATGAGAATACCACAGTGAAATATGTGCACCCATGTTTATAGTGGCACAATTTGTCATAGCTAAATCTTGCAAAGAACCCAAATGTCTATCAGCTGAGGAATAGATAAAAAAAGATGTGGTGCATTTATAGAATGGAGTATTATTGAGCTATAAGGAAGGCTTTTATAGGTAAATGGATACAACTACAGATCATACTCATAAGTAAAATAAATCAGACCTGCATGTGTAAATATCATATTGTCTTCCTAGTGTAAGAAACTGAAAGAATAAATAAAATCTGAAAGTTAGAATAGATACAGTGAAAGGGAAATAAACTGCTCAAAAGTAAAGAGCAACTGGGATGGGGGAAAACAGAAAGGAAAGAAGGAAGGGAAACACACACACACACACACACACACACACACACACACACACAGAGAGTAGCTTAGATAATTATACTACTAATTTTTGTTTCAATTTCATGTATTTGGTACAAGGTCTCAAGGTCTCAATATGCATCTTGGACTCATAGTGATTCTCCTGTGTCAGCCTCCCCAGACCTGGAATTCCAGGCATGTACCAACACACCCGGTCTTGGTGGCTGGCTTGTTGTGCCCAGGGCAGGGATGGCACAGCATGTGGTACTGGGGACTAAACTCAGGTCCTTACACTTGCCTAGGCAGGTGCTTAGACCGCTGAGCTATTTCTGTGGCCCCATACTACTAATTTCTATTGGTTTAATGAAAGGAACAGTTAATGGCTAATAGTTTGATCAGCTTTGTATGTTTGTATCTGGTAATCTGAACTTCTTTGAAGGTAATAATATGCAATATAACAACTGTTATTAATTTCCTATGATTTTGTTTCCAAAGTTCTGTATTTTTATTTTTTAAAATTCTCTTTAAAATTAAAAAAATAACAATATGGAACAAAATATACTCAAACAAAGGACAAAATATACTCGTGTCACTGAGCAGCAATGTGGTAATCCCAGAGAATGCTGTGATCCCATTAAAGATAGTGAACAGTATGCAGAATGAGAAAAATTAGTGGACACCTGTATTATTGGAAATATCAGGAAAAATTAAGTTGGATAAAGGAACTGACATGTAGGCCTTTCCCCCTTCTCAACTCACACTTAGATCTCTGTGTCAGGGTTCCTTGTATGGTGTTTTCCCCTCATCCATAGGAGACAATTCCCAGACCCCCAGTGGATACTGACAACACAGAATGTACACAACAGTATGTATACTATATTCTTTCATATTATATAGTGTATACTATGTATACTATATTCTTTTGTACACACACACAAGCCTTCACCTTTACTTGTAAAAAGCACTTCATAGATTCACTGTGGCATATCTGAATTGTCAGTATCCTTACCCCTGTGTTTTGGCGCCATTATTAAATAAAGTAAGGATGACTTGAACATAAGCCCTGCAACCTTCAATGGTCGATCTGATATTTGAGATGGCTACTGAGTGACTAAAGCAGGTCAGGTACATAGCATGGATATACTGGACAAAGAATTATTCATAGCCCAGATAAGACAAAGCAGATAACTGAACCTAATGGAAAGTGATCAGATCAGGGAAAATAATTTTATGTTTTTTTTCTGTCTATCCACACCCAGATGTCAATACTGAAGTACTGACAATTACTTTAACTTCAATTAACTCAGTCATCAATTTCCTCATATTTAGAGGAACAGTACTATAGTATAAGCTTTCACTCTCTACAAAGGTGGCTTAATTTTCACCAGGTTAAAAAAATCCCGAAATGTATATATCCCAAAAGAAAGATTTTTGGAAAAGCAGAGGGCAAACCATCTACATAACAGTACAAATTCCCACTTATAGAAACTGACATTTTCAATCCTATACATATCCTGACTACCAAATCCTATACTTCCAAAGTACCATTACCCACAATACAATCCTCAAATTTTGCTTTTATATCTTGGCCCCTATACCTCTGCTTCCAATTTATTTATTTTTTTCCAATTTATTATATAATCCTTAAAGATCAGATTACTTATCATTCTGGAACCTTTAAAATATGCATATATATATATATATATGCATTAAAGTAGCCAGTTGTGGCAGGCATATGCCTACCATTAATCCCAGTACTTGGGGGCTGGCCATATAGCTCAGCAGACTAAAGCACCTGCTTAGGCAAAGCACAGTGGCCAGGGTTCAATCCCTGGCGTCCTATGCCAGCCCCAACCCCAGGGCATGCTGAGATGACAATTGAGACTGGGCATGGTGGCATATGTCTGTTTTCCCAGTGTTTAGGGGGCCAAAAACAGGAGGATCACTATGAGTCCAATCTACGTAGTGAGACCCTGTAGACCCTGTACATAAATTTAGACTCTTACCATAATAGTCAGTTAACATTAGTTTACCATGAAAGGCCAGGGTCAGTATAAATCTGCTGTATTACACAATTACTTTTGAGAATTTCAATTAAAATTTTGGGTGGATGCCTGTATTTGGGTGGCTTAGGCAGAAAGATTACTGCAGAAGCCAGCCAGTGCTACATATTGAGTTAATTGAAGGCCAGCATGAACCATATAGTGAGACCCTGTCTCTAAAAGAAAAAAGATGTTTGTTCTTGATCCTATGACAAAAAGGGTGAGATCAATGGACCGATCTTGTAAGATGGTCAAATGTAGAACAGGATACAAATAAAACGAAGATGAAGAGATCAGTTTTAGGAATTCTCAGCATAAAGACACAAGCTTTGGTCTTATGAAGGAGTGAATCCTTACAGGAACATAAAGCAGAACAGAGAAATGTGTCTTTGTCTTGTTTATCAAAATTTATTCTTTCTACAAATATCTAATGAGCAATATATATGGACTAGGCTTTTTTCCTGATCCTGGCAACATGTTAGTCTGCAAGTCAGAAGGTCATAAAACTATTCAAAGAAGCAGGTAGGATAATTCTGACATCATAATACCCAAAAAGGTTACAATAGATCTTAAGAAAATTAATCAGTACTACATATGAAGGATAAATGTATATAAAAGTATCAATTATATTGAAATAATAAAATGGATGAAGAACTTAATGATTTACAATGAGTCCAGAGTTTAAAGAGAGACTAGGTAGTTAAAACTGGTATTAAAAATAAGAAAGCCATGTTGTTAATTTAAAAGTGGTTGATGTCATTTAAAAATACGTCTATAACTCAGACTTAAAAACACTTTATAATTGTGTAGTCTGATGGTCTGTGCATTGGTCTAGTCCCTGGAACAACATATTTCAACTCAAAAACGAAGTGACTGGTGACTAGAGAAAGAATACAACTGAAAAAGAGTAGCCGGGAATTCTAAAGAAAAGCATAAAATTCTCAGATAAGTTTAGGGAGGGTTTAGATTTTGTATATAGGAAAAATAACTAAATTTATTTTTTAAAATGTATAACAAAGAAGAATTTAAGTGGAGAAAACAAAAATTGGGGGCATGCTTTAGGATTCTTATATATGTGGATATGATCTCTGTAATCATTTCCAAACCACAGAGAATTCAGAGAGACTCCTGAAAAATATTTCAAAAGGCAGGAGGCACCAACCTCTCCTGATAATGATAACATGGGGTATAACTTGTAATTCACCTGAACTTTGGCGACATGGAAATTCCACTTCCAGTATCCATGGCTCTTTTCCTTGCTTCAACTTCGAAATCACATTTGACTTATTCACACGGTAACCTATTAATAGAAAAATAAGAAAAATTAGGACCAGCAATCTGCTCAGCACACTAAGTGCCTGTTTAGGCAAGTGCAAGGACTGGGGTTTGATCCCCTGAACCACATGCTGCACTGAGCTGGCCAATGAGACTGGGCATGGTGGCATACATCTGTAATCTCAGCGCTGGAGAGGCTGGAAACAGGAGGATCACTATAAGTCCGAGCTGTATAGTGAGACCCTGTACGAAATATATAAAATAATAATAATAATAATAATAATAATAATAATAAATGGTACAAATTACTTGGAATTTAGGTACTCTGTAAGGAAGTACAGTTTCAAGAAAGTAACAAAGATCTCACTTAAGACACATGTTTTTCTGGTACCCAAAATAAATTCATTTTACTTCTGAAACAAAGCTAATGTCATTCAATCTTATAGGACCCCTACATGTTCCAGCAACTGGGATGAGAAGTAGAAATTATTGGGAGTTCCATATGGGGAAGTCTTTCTTACCTACTGACACCAGGTGTCTGTAATTCTCCAGCATCACATCCTTGTACAGGGTCCTCTGAGCAGGAGTTAGCAATTTCCACTCTTCCTTGGTGAATTCCACAGTAACATCCTTTAATGTCACAGGTCCCTGGAACAACATATTTCAATTCAATTTTAAGTGATGGGTGACCAGAAAAGAGTACAACTGAAAAAAGACATTTAAGAATGGGGATGTTGCTCAGTGGTAAAATGTTTACCATGCATGCACAAGGCCCTGTCTCTGATCTCCAGTGAAAGAAAAGAAGAAAGGAGGGATGAAGAGAAGGCAGAAGGGAAGAAGAGGAAGGGAGAGAAGGAAGAAGAAAAAGGACAGGAAGAAGGGAAAAAGGAAGGAAAGGAAAATGAGGAGCACACATTAAATTAAGTCCTAAAGTACTGACAAAAGAATTTACTGTGGATAGTTGTGTTCATACATAGCTTCATACATACTTAATATATAGACATTTGTTTAGTACATATCTGTTGAATCCCCCAGCTCTTATGCCCACAACTTTGCTGAAGATGCAAAGATAAATAAAAGCAACTATGCCTGTTACCAAACTTATGACAGGGAACCAAGATGTAAATTTTTGCAGGTAATGTGTATGAAGATGCTATGACACATACATACTAGATACAAGAGGGACACAAGGACAGTTATTTACATTTTGTATTATGTGTGCTTTTAATAAGTGGTTAAATTGATAAAAATTTTGGCAATAAACAGTACGTAATTGGCAAAATCAGGGATGGATGAGAAATAGCAAGTTGTAGATAACACAATATGATATGAGAATAGAGTATAGGACCAAGATTACTTAGTAGTACCTAGTACTAACAAATAATGTGCAGCAAATGGAATTCTAGTACATCATAGTAGTACTTACCCAAGAAAAACAAAATATGTGTTCACAAAAATATCAGTATATTATTAGTTATACTCGCTTTACTCAGAATTGCCAAACAAGCTGTACTCAGAATTTTCTAAAAGACAAAACAAATACTTTTAAATGTTTTTGCTGTATTAAATCAGTAATTAAATGGGTACAGCCATAGAGTTGAACAATATCTAACAATGAAAATGAACATACTACTGATACACATGCTCAAATCTCAAATGCATCATGCTGAATAAAAGAAGGCAGTCTCAAAAAGAAAAACAAAGTATATAATACAATTTATGTGATAATCAGGAAAATAAAAAATTATAGGGTTGAAAAACAGATCAGTGAGGGACTGGGGAGATGGCTCAGCGGAATAAGCGCTTCCCTGACAAGCGCAAGGGCCTGAGTTCAATCCCCGGTTCCGCAAAAAAATAAAAAATAAAAAATAAAAATAAAAACAGATCAGTGATTGTTAGGGACTTGTGATAGGAAGGTTGGTTACAAAGAGGGACCTGGGAGAACTTGATGATAATGGAATTGTTCTGTTGCTTGACTGTTGTGGTGATTGCAGGTTTTTAGGCATGTTAAAACTCACTGAAAGGTGTAACACAAACAATGATTTCTGATCTAAGTTTTAAAAAAATCACATTCTAGGATAGTTTTTTTTTTTTTTTTTTTTTGTGGAACCATGGATTGAACTCAGGCCCATGCACTTGCCAGGCAAGTGCTTATTCTACTGCACTATCTCCCTGGCCCCATTAGGATAGCTATTGCTTAAAAAAAAAAAAACAGAAAATAACAATGTTGATAAATATGTGGAAAAGTTAGAACTCAACATTTTCAGCTGGGATGAATGTAAAATGCTACAACCACTGGAAAAACAGTAGAGTGGCTCTTCAAAAATATTAAACAAAGAGCTTCAGTATGGCTCAACAATACCACTTCTGGGTAAGCATCCAAAAGAACTAAAATCAAGGACTCAGCCATTTGAACACTCATTTACAAAGCAGCATTATTCACAATAAACAAAAGATGGAGGTAACTCAAGGGCCCATGAATGATAAACATACTGTGCTACAAGAGATGCAATAGTATCCAGCCTTAAAACAAAATTCTGACCTATGCTGCAAACATGGATGAAACTTGAGTAGACATTATACTACATGAAATAAGCCATCCAGGGAAAAGCAAACCCTGTATGATTCCACATACATAGGATGCCTAAACTAGTCAAATTCAGAGACAAACTAATGTAGTAGTTTTCAGGGGTTGGAGGGAAAGAAAGGAACAGAGAAGTGCTTTTTTTGTTAGTTTGTTTTTAATAGAATGTAAGATGAAAGCAGCTCTACAGATGATTGATAATGTTTATATAATAATATAAATGTACTTAATGCTACTGAATAAAATACTTAAGATTAAAATGGAAAATGTTATATACATTTTACCACAATTAAAAATAAAGATGAGAATCAAAGCCCCCACAAACCCCAACCTACTAAAGATAGCTATATGAAAACATGAAAGTTTAAGTCAGCAGGCATTGCAGGACTAAGATTTTGGAAGACAGGAAAATCTATTGAAATAAGCCATATACCACTGCTTAGAATTTTCAGGGGATTTCTAAGTTTCATAGCCAGAACAAAGATAGCACAAGGCAGGTTAGAACTGGCATCTCTAGAATAAGGAAAAAATTTAGTACTGAGTAGAATATAGAGTGTCAAAAAATAAACTGATCTCACCCTAACCAAAGAATAGGCCCTTTACTTAGGAAATTAGAAGGTTTCTAAAGTCGACCAGAGAACTGAGAATTCCAAAGATTAACAAGGGCCAAATTTCAGATCCAGGTACTTCAGAAGAGAATGGAAGGCAACTACTTTCACTTCTTGGGGTAATTTGGAGAGAATGAACTTTTAGCAAACTTTTAATGTTTGCTTGTGGGTTTGAATACCTGAAAGTGCCAGGCACAAAGCAAGTCAACAATGACTGTACCAACTGCTTTTGATTTCATCGGATGACAAAGTGCAATTTTATATCCAAGAGGTCTCCAGCAGAAACTTCTTACCTATGGCACAGTTTTACTTCCTATCAAATATTTCTAAATGGTCAGGTTAGTCAAAATGGGGAAGCAGGATGGTTAAGACCAAGATAAAGCAAGACCTATAACAAGAGATGTAACTTTTGTATCTGACAAGGTCAGTCAAATCCCCTCAGGATTTATCCTGAAACCCTGTATTGCAGTTTGTAGGTCCTTTGTCAGGTCAGCCATGTGGATGAGTCACAGCCACTGCTTGACCAATTTCTCTCTGTGAAAGCCTGAGAGAATGTTTTCTCTGTAGGTGACTCTCCTTAGGTACACTCTATATCATCGGTCAGTTTCCTCTGTGGCCCCATAATCTCCTTGATCATAAAATTTGGGACACAACTGAGTTACATGATATTGCAATACAGGTTCTCCTATGTCCTGAGTCCTCACTGACCTTGGAAGGCTAGGTTCAAAATGTTGGCTGTCCTTGTAGCCCTTGTTTTTCTCTAATTTTTGGTCTGCAAACTTAAGTTGTTAATCTTCCAGAAGAGAAGCTTATTATTATTACCCTACAATGTAGGCAATTGACAAAAGTATAAAAATGAAGTGTAAAAAGTAAAGCCATATTAATATGCTGAGCTGCAAAGGACTCAAGTCAACAACTTCTGACATTGCCAGTCCTATAGATAACCCACTACTATTATGGACTACTGGACTATATTGGATTATTTTGCTGAATTCACACACCTACAATATTTAAATGAGAATGGAATACCCATCTCTGACAAAAGTACACAAAAAAAGGAGATACAAATGAAGGACCATTTTGTATCTGTATATTCAAAATAGGATAGATATACATCTACTTTCTCTTAATTCAATGAATAGAAAGATTTGTACTAATAGTGTTTGTGGACAGGATATCACGTCTGCATCTTGTACTATGAATAACCACTAAGAAGACAATAATATGCAATGTATTAATTATTGTAACTGTCCTACTAATCGGTTTTGAGACTGTCTCATTGTTATTTGTTTCTCAATAAAATTATTTTTAAAAATGGGGAAGCAGTTTCTGGAACCAAATAAGAAGCTCCATAATAGATTTGGATGCTCTAAAATACAAACGCCATCTTTTGTCCCCACAGGACATTGCCTGAGTCCAATAAACTCCAAAAGCTAGGAGCAGCATTTCAGATGGAGACACTTCAGGTGGGAAGAGCATTGCCTGCCAGGTAGAAAGTCCTCAGTTATCCAAAGAACAGCTGGTAGCAAGGCTAGAATACATACAGAGGCCTTAGGGTCACAATCCAAGACTTAATCCTGCCTCAAATCACTGTAGGTCAATGATTTGAATATAATTGAAGCCCATGGCCAGCTGAAATACAACAGCAATCTGAGAGAAGTGTTGTACCATTTTCTGAGGGTTATTATTTACCTATTCTTTAGAAGAACCTGTTGCTATTCCAAACATAATATCCAACATTTTATTATAAATTATAAGACATTCAAAAAAGTAGGAAACAGATTCATACTACATAATGGAGCCTAAATGAAGCAGATCCACAGATCTACAGATAATGTAGATGTGAAGATTAGCACATAAGGATTTTTTTTTTTTGTCTTCTAGTACAGGGACTACAGGGTCTCACTACACAGATTGGACTCATAGTGATCCTCGTGTGTTCAGCCTCCCAAGTGCTGAGATTATAGGCTTGTGCCACCATAACCAGTCTCATTCGCTGTCTCAATGTGCCTCCGGGGTGGGGCCGGCACAGCACGCCAGGTATCAAACCCTGGTCCTGCACCTGTCTGAGTAGGCACTTCAGTTGGCTGAGCTATTTGGCCAGCCCAGAACTTTCAAGTAATTATGATAAAAATCTTAAATGATCTAGTAAAGCATACAATACAGATAAAAGGATAGGGAAATTTATTGAGAAAAAAACAGAATTAAAAATATATTATAAGAAGTAGATGTCATGAATTAGGAAGAGAATGAGCAGGGTATAAGGAAACTATGAACTGGAAAAAAAATCAGCTCAATAGATAATCATCCAAAATAGACAATTAAAATAAAGTATCGTGGCATGTGCCTGTAATCCCAGCACTTGGGAGGCTGAAAACAGGAGAATCACTACAAGTTCGATGTGTGTAGTGAGGTTCGGTAGACCCTGCATTAAATATTAAAAATAAAATAAAATCCAAAAGCAGTCTGTAGTATTTGAGGAATTTAGAATAATGTAATATAGTCTAACATTTATGTAACTGAAATCCTAAGAAAAGAGAATGGGGCAAAGCGAATATTTGAAGAATGAGTACTCAATCATGTATGTGTGTATGTGTGCATTTAATTTGAGTCAGTGCCTATGTTATAGGGTAATAATATCATTAAGCTTCTCTTCTAGAAGGTTAATAACTTAAGTTTGCAGACCAAAAATTAGAGAAAAAGAAGGGCTACAAGGATAGCCAATGTTTTGGCCCTAGTTATTCAAGGTCAGTGAGGACTCAGGACATAAGAGAACCTGACTGTAACATCTGTAACTCAGTGTGTCCCAAATTTTCTGATCAAGGAGATTATGGGGCCACAGAGGAATGTGATAAATGATGTAGAGTGTGCCTAAGGAGAGTCAAATGGAGAGAAAACATTCTCTCGGGCTTTCACAGAAAGAAATTGGTCAAGCAGTGGCTGTGACTCATCCACATGGCTGACACTGACAAAGAACCTACAAACTGCAATACAGGGTTTCAGGATAAATCCTGAGGGGATTTGACTGATCTCGTCAGACACAAAAGTTGCATTTCTTGTTATATAGGTCTTGCTTTATTTTGGTCTTAACCATTCACCAGAAAAGTGTAAAAACGAGGTATAAAAAGTAAAGCCATATTAATATTCTGAGCTGTAAAAGGCTCAAGTCAACTACTTCTGACATTGCCAGTCCTACGGATAACCCACTACTATTATGAACTACAGGACTATATTGGATTATTTTGCTGAATTCACATACCTATAGTATTTAAGTGGCAATGGAATACCCATCTCTGACAAAAGTAAGCAAAAAAAGGAGATACAAATGAGGGACCATTTTGTATCTGTATATACAAAATAGGATAGATGTACAGCTACTTTCTCTTAATTCAGTGAGAAGAAAGATTTGTGCTAATAGTGTTTGGACAGGATATCATGTCTGCATCTTGTATTACGAATAACTACTATAAAGACAACAATATGCAATATATTAATTATTGTAACTGTCCTACTAACCTGTTTTGAAACTGTCTCATTGCTATTTCTCAATAGAATTAATAAAAAACAATTGGAGTCAGAGTCTTTTGTAGTTCATGCTGGCTTTGAACTCCCTATATAGCTCAGGCTGTCCTCAAAATTTTGGTGATCCTCCTGCCTAAGTCTCCCAAGTACTGGGATTACAGGAATGTATCACCATGCACAGCTCCAAGTATTTTTTAAAATAGTAAAAGGCAAAAACATCCAGGGCTTTATTAGGCTGTAAGAAGGATTAACAGAAAACAAACATACCTGCATGCATCAGAGTCTAAATGTTAAAAAACCTAAAGTGCAATTATGTTCAAGGACATAACAGCCTTCTAATCAGAAACCACAGAAGACAAAATATATTCTAAAAGTGCAGAAGGAATGAAAACTCTAAACACAGAGTTTTTAATTGAACAAATCATTCAAAAATCAACGTGAAAAATTTTCAGAAATTCAAGTGAATTTGTTGCTATTAGTACTGAAATGATAAAGTAAGGTCTTTAGGCCTATGAGAGAACAAAAAAGTAAATAAATAAAATAAAAAGACAATGAAATGGTTATAGAATTCAGCTTCTATTTTCTGTGGGTAATAGTGAGGATAACATAAAGGAGGGGCAGTGACAAAGCTTCAACGGTACTTGTAATGTTCATTTTTTAACATGCAAGGGGATACATTGGTGTTAGCATAATTGTCCCTAAATTGTACATATGCTTGAGGTATATTCCCTTGTATAAAGGATAACTGTCAAATGTTTAAATGAACAGTAAAATAAAAATTCAAAGTTCTATAGCCTAAAGGCTATGTACCTCCGATGCTCCTCTACTTCATTGCTTTACTCTCATCAGTCTCCCCTTAAGTCACCTTTCTATCCTTAGTGTCCGAGACTCATTTTGGAACATGCCTCAGAGTGATTGTTCTTGCTGTTCCTCCCATCTAGACAACTCTTCCCTAGATATCTACCCAGCTGCCCCTAGTTAATTTAGGACTTTCCTCAAACACGGCTTTTTAGGGCTGGGGATATAGCCAGGGACACAGTGCCTGCCTGGCAAGGGTGAGGTCCTGAGGTTTTATTTAGTTATTTATTCATTTAGTTATTTATTTTCTTTTGTGCCATTTAGTGCTCCTACTGTTTTTCAGACTCCCCAGGTTGTGAGTTTGAGGGGTTTTTGTTTTTGTTTTTGTTTTGTTTTAAACAGGTCCTGAGTTGCCTGATAAACAAAACAAAACAAAACAAAACAAAACAAAACAAAACAAAACAACCAACCCTTTCAGAATGTTGTTTCCTAATAAACCTACAGTCTATTCCTTTCTTTATATTGTTCTTCCTCTCAAATTATGAATATGCTTCTGAGTATATGCCTGAGAAATACTACTCAAATGCTGATGAATTTTATTATATATTTTAAAAGTTGTACTTTTGTACAACTTACTCATTATCCTTCTCAGAAAAGTCTATAGTAGAAAAGTGTCAGGTTCGTAATGGAGGATACAAGTTTTTCAAAATTATAATTTTTACCGTAAAGCTCAAATTTTAACAGTGGTGAAAAATACTGTTGAGTGTTGTCGACATATCCTATAATTCTATCACTGAGGCAGGTTGAGGCAGGAGGATTCCAAGTTTGAGGCCAAGCCTGGGGTACTTAGGTCAACAAAGACAACCTGTCTCAAAAGACAAAAAAGATCTGGGAGTGTAGCTCAGTGGTAGTGTGCCCCTGGGTTCGATTTCTAGTACCGAAATCTACAACAGGTTATTTACTTTAAAGCAGCAGACTCACTTAATCATTGAGAAAATGTTATACATAAAAGTGTGAGAAGCCATAGTTTGTTTACCAGTTGTTTTTCAAGTAAAAGGAATTCGATTAAACAAACAAACAAACACAAAATGGCATGCATGAGCACAAGTGACAACCAACCATCACAGTTCAGGATGCAACAGAGGGTTTTACGTGAACTTTCCATATTGTCACACAGAATATTAAAAAGACGCATACTTGAGGGTCAAGAATTAATAGTTTTACTGTTTCAGTAAGGATATCCTTAAGTAAGATTTCTACTGAGTTCCTTGGAGGAACACAATAACAATAAATTGGTGTCATTGTTTTAACTCAAGCCTTATAGTCAGCAATCTCTATAGTACTGCTTTCACACCACCAAGGCAAGAGGCAGTTTGGACCTTAATGTTAAATTTGACCCCACAGATCTCTCAAGGAGGTCTCAGCTCCCAGCATTCAGCATATCACACTTTGTGGAGAGCTGCTGTTTTACTCAAACAGTATTTTCTCCCTGTGTGATTTTTAATAATTTTTTACTTTCTCTTTTAAAAAAATCCATTAAACACACACACACACACACACACACACACACAGTGAAACAAAGGGCTAAATGACTCACTTTGAACTTGTTCATTTTTTGCTGATCTTGGGAAAGGGTAGAAACTAGGAGGCCAGAACAGGAAAAGTTGGAAGAAAGAAGTCATAAGAGACAGTGTCTCGCCGCTCCAGGAATCACCTGTGAGAAATTTCCACACAACATTTTAGTAAGATAAAATGTTGACAGTCTGTTCACTGAACAATAAATGACCTGAAAAACCAAACAACTCTTTTCTGGCATTGTAGATGGTGCTGAAGCAATTTTTTTTTTTCCTTTTTGAGACAGGATTTCACAGTACAGTTTAGGCTAGCCTTGAGCACACTTTGTAGCCCAGGCTGGTCTCAAACTCAAAACCATCCTCATGCCTCAAACTTCCAAGTACTGGGATTGCAGATGTGTGCCACCATGCCCAGCAGCAAACATTTATTGAAAAAGAATTTATTGATAGAAGTTTTTTGAGTTACACATGATTTCTTCTACTAATATCATAAACCCAATTAGAAAATCTTTTAAATTTTTTTTAAAAAGAGACATCTCTTCTGCTTATAGTTTCTCAAAATACAGTTCCTTTAATATCATATATTATGTAAGTATGCTTAGAATAAATCTGGAGACTTTAGTTCAACTACAGGGTTTATTAAAATGAGGAGGCATTAATCTTCAAAAACCCTTCATGTACCATTATGATCCTTTAAAGTTTTCACTCAAGCACAAATCTAGACAATAGATTTGGAATTCTCTGCCCTCTCAAAATTTAGGTTGGGCATAGGATAAAATTTAATAAGGCCTTCATAGACTTTAACATGGCCACCTAATTTGACACTGACATAAATCTAGCTTCTAAAATAGCAGTAGGCACTTCATGTGTGCAGCAAAAGACAGCTAGATATTCATAATCTTGAAGCCCTTTTCATAAGCAGCAGAGACCACAGTCAGCTTGCCTGAGAAGCCCAAATACCATGAAGATGAATACAGTTTTTATTTTTATTTTTATTTTTTAAATCTCTTTCATTTCCTCTCAAGACACTAATCTTTGCCCTGGATAGGGCTCCCAGCTTCTCAGCAAAACTTAAAAACTGAAAACTCAAACTGGTTTCGATTTATTCATTCAGCAGTCCAGAGCCCCTGAGAAAAACTGACCCAAAGGTTGGGCGAACCCAAGATTCTGGAACTGGAACACTCCGTGGTGAGGTCGGTGGAGTGCACTCTGCAGCTGGCTTCTGAAGACGCCCAAGGAGAGCCAGACAGACGCTGGGTACCAGTAGGGCTGGATGTCAGCGCAGGAAAGGGCGCGATCCGCGCAGGACTGAGACCTGGAACCCCACCGCCAATACCGGGTGAACCGACTCGCTGGGAGTCCGTGGCGCGGCTGCTGCTGACCACGGAAGGTGGATGTGACACCACCAGAAGGATGGTCGTGGGGCCCGAACGAGACGGTAACGGAACAGCGGCATCCTGGTGACAAGGCGAGTAGCTCACCTTTTTGGGTGACCTCTCACCTTGACAGGTCCGACTCAGGCAGCAACCCCCCAGGAGATTACCCTGGTAGTCCCTACGTGGTGGCCGCGGCCCGACCCCCTCCTCCCACGCCGAGCCACCCTTCGCCCTCCCCTCGGAGGACCTGTCCCCCTCTCTGGTCCCCACCCCTCCTGGCAGCCCGCTACAGAGGCTTCAGACACACCTTCAGGGCTAGACCTCCCTCAGGCCACTGCCCCGCTCGGAGCCGCGGCACAGAGACCCGGGCTGCCCTCAGCCCCCCGGGGCGCCGGACAAAGCTGAGCTAACGGAGCCAGAGCCGCGCATGCGCAGAGCCTGCAGGGCGTCCCAGAAATCCCCGCGCGGGTGCGGCCCCGCTACCTCCGGGACTTTGGCTCCGCAATCTGCGTGGGCTCTCGCTAGGGATACCTCTTCTTTTTTACTTAATTTATTTTTATTCTAGAGACAGGGAATTACTAAGTTGCCCTGGCTGTCGACAGCTCTCTGCAAAGAGATGGATCGTGACTTGTCAAGCACTTGGGCCTGAGCATAAAACTACCTGCAAAGAGCGATCCGTCTGGTAAATGAGGCTGTTATCCTGGTAACAACTTCCAAAATTGTGCAGATCATAGCTGAGTAATGTGATAAATCAAAAACAGAGGTGCGTACCATACATAACACTGCCTAAAAGCAAAAAAAAAAAAAAAAAAAAAGCTTAATATAAAGTATACAGACATCGCAAGAGTTTTATACAAATTGCAACGGTAGCTGGAGGTGCATTCCTTGAAGGCCTGGCCTCAAGAGAAAGATGGAATAACTATACCCGCATAACTTCCTGAGGAATAAACAATAGCGATTGATGTTCTAACTAGGCATCAGTCATCCAAGTGGGGGACAAGGACTTCTTGACCCATCTCTTCTGAAAAAAAAACCTGCCCTTTTTCTTTCAGTGTACTCTTGATATGTGACTTACTTCCCTGTTGGATCAATATTACCTAAATAACCAATTGTAATCTTATTGTTTGCTTATAGTTTTGTTGCATGTTTTACCCACTTTATGATTTTGTACCCATCTTGTGATTTTGCTTTATAAAACTTGGAGAAGGGGTCTCCTTGGTAACCCACTTTCTGGGTAGCTCACACGGGAGCTGTCTCTCAATAAAATTTGGTACTCTTAACCTCTGTTGTTCCTTAGAATTCATTCTTAGATTTGGGGGAATACAAACTCAGGGTATGGGACATCTAGCAGGTTGGGAGTTAACAATATTTCCTCCAGATATTTGGAGGCCCTATATCATTACTGGTGTATAATATCATGACTATTATTTCACTAAGGAAGATATATGAAATATATGAAAGATTGTGGTCAGTATCTTGATGACCTCACTTTATGACAACTATATCAATGAATTTCTATTCAAAATGGCTATATAAATACAAAAATTTTCACAGAGTTAAATTTAAAACCTGTAGAAATGATAACATACCATTTTCTGGGTAGCAGGTATTACAGAAATAATTAAAGCCTTCTGCCAACCTAGAAAATCCTGCTTACTGATAGAGGAAAGGAAAAAAAAACCCTTTCCAAGAATTATTATTATTGAGTGAACATTAAACCAGACTTCCGTGTACAGAAAATCCACTAATGAGTTTGCAAAGAAGGAAATACCACATTGTTATATTGCCTGGCAGGTAAAACCCATTACATATTCTCCAGGTAAAAGACCGTTTAAAGGAGGAAAGATTTATTTGTTGGTTTATGGTTTCAGAAACTTAAGACCTCGTCAGTGGACTCCAAGGTAGAAACTTCATGGCAAATGGAAATGTGCTCAAGAAAGAGGACTTTATACTACCATTTATTTCATCCTAAAAGGAGCTTGTCTTGTAGGGTAGTCCTCTGTTGGAACTGCCTTTTCCAAATGAAAGGTAAAGTTTTTATAATCTTTGAGCCAAACATTGTGGTGCACACCTTAATCCCAACACTTGGGAGGCTGAGGCAGGAAGACAGTTGCAAGTTTGAGAACAGCCTGGCTACAAGTGAGCTCAAGGCCAGCCTGAACTGCATAATGAGAACTTGTCTCAAAAAGACCCCCCCCCAATAAAGATAAAAAATTTAAAAAAATCTCAATGACAAGCAGTTATAGTAGCAACAATATGTAGCTAAGTAGCCAGGAGCCTAAGCATTTCTCAGAGATTAGGAAAATGGATACAGTCTTCCTTGATGTTTACCTTTCAAAGACATGGCACCAAGCTATTAGATTTTCCTGGGGCTGGAAGGCTTGAAGTACACCAGTAGTCCTAGTGGTTGGGAAGCTGAAACAGCAGATCAAGCTAGGGTGACCTGATCTTTTTTTTTTTTTAAAAAAGAAGACTTCCTGGAGGTGAGGGTGTCCATGGCTCAGTAATACACTCTTTGCCTACAGTGGTGGTGAACCTATGGCATATGTGCCACAGCGGGCACAATGAGCCCTCTCTACTGGCAGATGAGCTGAGTGGTTCCAGCATCATCCTAGCAGTTGAGCACTGGACATCCAGGTTTATTTGCAGTGTTGTCACTTCACAATAAGTGGTTTCGAGGTTACACGTTAGGCATTTTATCTCTAAAAGGTTCACTATTACTGGCCTAGGTTGTGCAAAGCTTTGTTTTGAGTGCCAGCAGTGAGAATCAAAAGTTTGTCTTATAAGTGTAAACTAGGAATAGGGTTATATACTTTTAAAAACGATTTACTAAATCTCCAAGAATTAGATTTAGAGTTATAAGTTTCAGAATTACATGTTTTCTCAAGTTTTAAGAGAAGAAAAGGGATGTATTGATCAGCTTTTGTCCCAGAGACAAAATCCTCAACACCTATCTACCCTCCACTTTGAGGAGTGGTTTATTTTTTGGCCCATGGTTTCTGAAGTTTAAGTCCTGGTTAGTGGACTACAAGAAAGAAATTTTATGCAAATGGGCATATCAGAGGAAAGCTGCACACCTCAGGGCAACCTGGAAGCAGAGAACTAGAGAAGAGCCCAGACAGAAAGTGGCCAGAGACCAGATACGGTCCTTGAGGTCATGCCACCATGAGCCACCCAGACACACCCAGAAGTGTGCTTTACTAAGCTAAGTATCTCTCAGGTTAATCAAGTTGGAATGAAACTAACCATTGGGCCAGGGAGATAGCTCAGCCACATAAGTGCCTGCCTGGCAAGCGCAATATGCTGAGTTTGATCCCTGGTGTAAGACTAACCATCAGAAGTGAGAAATTTATAAAAGGGAAAATTTAATTTTTATATTTATCCTTATGTAACCAACACCCTCCCACTAAAAACTGTAGCTCAGTGAAATAAAGTGCTTGTTTAGGCAGGCACAGGGACAGGGTTCAATCCCTGGCATACCCTGCCTGCCCTTCTCCCAGGGCATGCTGAAATGGCGTTTGAGATTGGGCATGGTGGCATGCTCCTGCAATCCCTGCACTTGGGAGGCTGAAAACAGGAGAATCACTGAGTCCGATCTATATAGTGAGACCCTGTAGACCCTATACCAAATACGAAAACCAAAACAAAACAGAAATACTGCATCTACATGAGTGAATGGGCTAGGAATCTATCTAGTGACACACACTGTTCCTGCCTGACAGGTGCAGGTCCTGAGTTTGATTCCCAGTACCAAAACCAAAACCAAATGTTATCCCAGTGCTGACAAAGATAGCAGTATACCCCTATGGGGATCCAAAGGCCCATTTGTTACAATATCCAAAATACTCAGTTTTCAATAATAACAACAAATTATAGTAAAGAAAAAAGAGTGAAGTGTGACCATACACAAGAAAAAATTAAGGCATAGAAATCTCTTCTGAGGGCTTAGGTGTTGCACATTATTTCCCTAAGCCCTAAAGAAATCTATGTTTAAGAAAATGAAGTTTCTTTCATTATTTGGAGGTGCTACATTTATTATACTGTATTTAAAAAAAAACTCTTAAAAGGTTGGGGGTGGCAGCGTAAGCCTATAATACCAGCACTATTTGGGAGGTTGAGTCAGGAGGATCTTTGTGAGTTCAGACCAGCCTAGGCTACAAAATGAGCTCAAGGCCAGTCTGAACTGCAGTTACCCTGTCTCAAAAAGCATTCTCTCTCTCCCTTTCTCTCTCTCTCTCTCTCTCTCTCTCTCTCTCTCTCTCTCTGTTACACACACACACACACACACACACACACACACAGAAAGACACACATTTACATCCAGAAAGCCCATATTAAAGTATTTTGAATAGAGCATATGCCATCTAATTTTGTCAATTTGACTGGATGAAGAAACTTCTGGAGAGGTAATCTGATCATGGGAGAGCTATATTCATCAGTGGACTAAGCCACTGATGATGTTCACAGCTAAATACGCCATTAGAATGTGGGGCCTGGTCGGAGGAGGTGGATCACTGAGGATGTTCCTTGGGAGGACATTTATCTCTGGTGTTCTTTCTCTATGTTGCACTTCACAGCTGACATAACATGGGCAGCTTTGTTCCACATCACCCAACCATGGACAGAACCCTGTAACAGCCAAATAAACCTCTAATGATTATCAGGTATTTTGTACTACCAACAGAAAGCTGACCAATATCAAGCAATACGAGATATTTGTAAGGCCTTTCCTGGTTTAAAACTGACATTAATTTAGGTGTTCGTATTCCAGATGAAGTCAAGAATACTTTTCTAAAGTACACAACAATGAGAAAAATATGAAAAAGTTGAGATTTTTAAATGAAATTGTGTTAAAGAGTAATCTTCCTTTGAAAGGCTTTATTCAACTACGTTCATCACATTAACACGGAGGAAGGAACTTATGACATTTATATTCTTTTGGGTAGTGCCCATTTCCTACCACTTGTCTGTAACTAGGGATTTTGTCCTCACACCTGTTTTGTTCCTGACAGATTCACTGAGGACGTCAGATCACGGGTCTGTATGAGTGGATGTGTCAGTTAAAACAGGACTTGCACCCTGGAGCCGCGTATCTAAACAGCACCCCAGGCACTTCCACAACTTCCCGGTATCCACAACCTTGCTAACAGCGGATCGCGTCAAATCGGACCTGCGCCCTGGGCGCCAATCCAGACAGTGGGGCGCAGAGCCTCACGGGAAAGCAAATTGTGCGCTGGTGGCCAATCCCGCGCGGGTTCTGCGCATGCCTCACGCAGCGGCCGCCCTCGCTTTCCCTTGTTTTTCGCGGGCCTCAGATGGGAGGCAGTCCGGGGCTGCCCAGCTGCTGTTCTTACGGGACCCGCAACACGACCCGTGATCGACGGGTGAGTTCCAAAGAGCAAGGTGAGGGGCCAGCGCCCACAAATGGGGAGGAGCCCGCGGCGCCCAGGACCGCGGCGCCTTTGTCAGGATGTGAGGCGGCTCAGCACAGGTCCAGCCCAGCACCTCGCTCACTCCGCTCTTCCCTCCCGGCAGGTTGATGGGCCCGCGGGTGGGGCGAGTGTGCGCATGCGCCGTCGTGTCCTCCCGCCGAGGCGGTGCCGCGAGGGACCGAGGGACTGTGCGGGCGTGCACCTTCTTGAGCCCGGTACCCGGGTGGGTCGGTGTTTGTGGGAGTCGCTTGCGCTACGGGCTTCCCGCCATGGCCTTGAGGCCCGGGCCCCCTGTCTAGACATCCCAGGCCCTTATTGCTCCAGCGCTTATCAGGTAGCTTGAAGAATTATCTGCTCTTTTTTGGTAGAAAAAATTAATTTTGAAAGCCATCGATCTTTTCAAGATCTCAGTTTGTTAGTGGTGCAGACTTAATGTCCGATCTCTTGACTCCCAAGCTCATACCATCTCCTTTTTTACATGTGTCAAAGGGTGTTAATTATGAAACATACTTTTTAGAAACAAAACACTTAAAGATACTAAAATTATTTTTTCTTCAAAGAATACTTTTTGCAGCTTTTGGTGCATTCACTAACAACTAAGTAATATTAGTGACAAAATTGATCTTTAACCTAAATATTTTAAACAGCTATTTTAATGAAGTAAGTTATTCATTAGGAACACTGTTAACTTGTTCCTTCATTAGACAGTGTTGTTAACTTGCATGAACAATTTTTTTATATGTATGTATTTGTGAGCATCAAGGGAGATTGAAGCTTAAAATCCTGAGGAGGCACATATTCACATTTACTTGGTGTAAAAATTTTGTGCTCAAGAGCTACATGATTATATTACAGCAGTATTGGTGTTTTTTTGTTTTGTTTTGTTTTCCATTTCCCCTGATCATCCTAAAGTGTGAAAAGGACAGGGACATTCTTCCACAGAGAGCATTTCATCTAGGGTGTGTATGTGTCTGGTAGGCAGGACAAATCATTCATCACCCTTTCTGCTTCTAACCCAGTTGTAGATTAAGAATTGCCTACATCTTTTGAAGACTAGCACAAAATGAGCAAGGTAAGATGTTTATTCATTCCCCATGTTATTTGTAAGAGTCAGTATATTGTGAGAAATTAGGTATAGATAAAAATTAAGCTTGACAAAAAATATGAAGATCTTTATGTTTTTTTGATGGGAAGATAATGTATCTTCTGTGGGAAGATCCAGCTGATCTTTTGCTGTATACTGACTGTATGATCTTGGAGTCACTCGTGTGTTGCAGATAAGTCTCTAATATTTCTGGCCACCGTGGAAAAGAAAGGCATCTACTGTATCTTCCACAGGGAAGAATGAATCTTTTGAAGACAAAAGCTTCCTAGAAGATACCTTTTTTGGTCATAACATAGGTACACATGTTGACTAACCTTCCAAGGGCAACCCCAAATGAATGAAACATTACCTTAAATCCGTGGTGGCAGACTTATGGCATGCATGCCACAGAGAGCACATGAGCTAACTTGCACCAGCGGCTAAACACTTTGCAGTGAATAAGGTCTGGAGTTCCAGTTTTGGCACATGGTCTCTAACAGTGTTCCCATCACTGCCTTAAAAATATTCTTTAGTGGTGTTAAAAAGAGAGACATGGTTCAAGTAGTGTCAGTTTTTGGGTCATTTTGTTTAATCTTGGTGTATAATTTACAGCACTGAGAAGATGCGTTGACCCACATTTTTGTCTGAATACGTGTATCAAATTAGCAGTTTATCACTTCACAATGTACAAGTCTGCAAACAGTTTCACTCCAGATGCCCTCATCTAGTGCTCATTGCTCACCCAGTGGCATGCTGTCCTGAGGGAGTCATTGTAGAGTCCAAAAGGGATGGCTGTGGTTGCACTAAGGTTTTGTTTTGTTTCAAGTTTTCTACATTCCTTTTTTCTTCCATCCAATATCAGTTTCTTTGAGCTAGAAGAGCTGTAGCTTTTCTTGTTGTGTATGTTTATTGTATCATTTTCAGTCTTTGTCTGGAAGATACACTCATTCATTTTAGGATATTTTTTACAGAATTTTGATTTTTCTGGTGGCTCTTTTTCTTAGCATTATAAAATATTGTTTTGTTTTTTACATTTACAGATTGCTTGCTGGAGTTTTTCCCAGTGTCTTCTGACTTCCACGGTTTTATTCAAATATTTATGTTTTGCTGTTGAAATAGCCTACTTTTTTTGTTCCCATTGTTTCAATGAGAAAAATAATTCTTGACATAAGTTTCTTTTTATGCTAGCAATAAAGTGTTCTTAACATATATATCATCTCAGTATGTGCATTACATTTTTATTCTCTATGCTTTGACAAAAATAGATTGCTAACTTTAATATAATGTAGTTAATTTATGTCTTAAGAGTTCTTTTCATGAGGTAAAAATTTTACTGCTTTAACTTTGTAAGTTATTCCAAAATGGATATCTGTTCACACTTAAGATAGAAATAGGGGGCTTGTGAGTTAGCTCAGTTGTTTAAGCGCCTGCTGGGGCAATCCAGTCTGGCACAGAGGACCTGGGTTCAATCCCCAGCTCCACATGCCTTACCAGATCCTCCCTTAAGGCAGCCTGAGCCAGCCAAAAAAAAAACAAGAAAGAAATACAAATACAATTGCACTAGCACCATTTATCAAATGATTGTTCTTATATCACTCTTGTCATGAATCAGTTGACCATACGTGTATGTGTGTGTGTCTCTGTTTTGAGGCTCTATTCCATTGCTACTTTTAAAAATCCTTGTGCCTGTGTTATACATTGATTTGGGCACATTAATAATAATACTTGATATATGACAGTAGTTCTTCTGGCTTAGATTTTCCTCAAGATTGCTTTGTCTATTTGAAACCCTGCATTTCCACATGTTTTAGCATTAGCTTGTCTAATGGCCATCAAAATAGCTGCTGGGAATTTGTTTGAGATTCTGTGAATCTGTACAGTAGCATGGGTAATACTGTTTCTCATGTTGAGCCTTCCCATCTGGAGCTTTCTTTGGTTTCTTCATTCTGTCTTGCAATTCTCTATGTAAGTGTTTTATTTTTCATGCTATTATTTTATTTTTTATTTTTATTTTTTTTTTGTGGAACCGGGGATTGAACTCAGGCCCTTCACTTGCAAGGGAAGCACTTATTTTACTGAGCCATCTCCCAGCCCTTTTCATGCTATTATTAATTATACCTTTCAAAATTTAATATTGTTTTGCTGATAGACATGTCTAAGATTTGTTATACTGAATGAGTAACTGTATCCTACAATACTTTTATTTGGATTTTCTTTGTGCACATAATTATGTTACTTCTCTAAGAGCTTGAGAAAAATGTTGTCATAGCAGGCTTCCTTATGTTGGTCTTAGTTTTAAACATTTCCCGTATTTTAATGTAAATGTGTTTGCTGTAACCATTTATGGAAATCCTTTATCATATTGAGGAAATTCCTTTCTATTCCTAGTTTTCCAAGTGTTTTCTTCTGTGTCTTTTTTAAAAAAAATGTATTTAGTACAGGGTCTATAGGGTCTCACTATTTTGTGTCTTTTCAAGACAGAGCTTTGCTATGCTGCTCAGGCTGGCCTTGAACTCAGTTTGTAGCCCAAACAAGCCCCAGACTTGCAGCAATCCTTCTACCTCGGCCTCTTGAATACTAGGATGACAGATGTGCACCAGCACACCTGGCCATATAAAGCATTTTTAAAATCATGCATTTCTGCGCCTACTGATATCTGCCATTCCCACCCTGCACCCCACCAGGGATTGAAATAGAGACCTTGCACTTACCAGGCAGGTGCTTATGCCAGGCAAGTGTTTATGCAGCTGAGCTATATCCCCAGCCCAATCTGTTGTTTTTTAAAAACTATTCTTATTTTAATTTTGAATTTCAGGAAATTACTTCTGATCTTCATATTCTGTCCTCTCTCTAAACTAGATGTAAGGTGATTTTTTGCTCAGATTTTGTGTTTTCTCTCATTGACTTTCTGAGAACCTCCAGTCAACTCTTGTTGAATCAATTTCGAAATTGTTAATATCCCTCAGATGCTTACTTTCATTCTGACTCTCCAGTATTACACTTTAGATCTAGCTCGTGAAAGCCCTACTTTGCTGACATACCACTCCAGTCCAGTGTCCAGTGTTCTCAAGGATGCCCCATGAATTGGTGATCACTTCTGTCCTCAGTGGCCTGTTTGCATGCCAGTTCCTCTGATAGTAGTTGGTTTAAGTGATGGTGTTTCATCCTTTGTCTCTTGCCTTTCTCAAGAGAATAGGAGGGGCTGGGGAGATAGCTCAGTAGAATAAGTGCTTGCCTGGCAAATGCAAGATCCTGAGTTCAATCCCCAGTACCGCGGGCAAGGGGGGAGAAAGGAGAATAGGTTCTAAAATAAAAATCTGATCACATTATTTCAGTGTATGCTCACATCTCTTCTGTGTCTTCTTTTTTTTCAGAACACTGACCCCAAAATAGAGATATCCATTTGAGAGGTTGTCCAAACAACCCAATTGACTGTCATCTGTGTACTTCACAGATTCTCAGTCATAGTAGTTTCATAGTTCTTCCATTTTCTACACATCCTAGTGATTGTCTCTGAGTTGAATAGAGCTTGGAATATATATTGTGACCAAATAAAATATTAGGCTGTGTTTCTGCATTTTAAAATCCAAATGAGAAGTTGGAATGCATCATAAATATATTGTAAATAAATTTCTGTAATTTGTAAGTACAAATGTTTGTGTAAAGCCACTGCATAATGAGTTTCCTGAGTGTTTCTCTGACCTTTTTACTCATGGCAGACCAAGCCAGATCCTCCTGTCCTCCTGTGCTTCCTGCCTTGTTGCTGGTTTCTTGAGCATCTGAGAGGGTCCTGCCTTTGCTTATGCCATTGTCCTGTCCTTTTGGAAATGCAGTGCAATATTATCTTCAGCCAACTTCCTCAGTGAAGTTCAAAGTAGATCTAATTTTGGTCCTTATTTATATCATTTGTATTGTCTGTAGTTTCATTTTGGTACACACTAAACATACTACTACATTTATTTCCTTATGAGATTATACATTCCTGAAATTAAAAAAAAATTATTCATCCTACTATTTACAACTGTAATAGTCCCCTACACAGTGAGGACTACTGATTTTTTTTTCTTAAATTAATACTTGAATGCCATAGCAGAGTATTCCACTTAGTTTCCTTAACCCTTGAAGTATGTGTCCCAAAAATTCTTAGAATTTTCATAGCCTATAAAGTGCATACAGTGTATTTTTTTCCATGCCATCTAATGCTATACATTTTTAACTGAACAGAAATCCCAGGGATCAGTATCATTTAAGGATGTGACTGTAGGCTTCACCCAGGAGGAGTGGCAGCACCTAGACCCAAGCCAGAAATCCCTGTACAGAGATGTGATGTTGGAGAACTACAGCCACCTGGTCTCTGTAGGTAAGGGTGTGTTATGTGATTCCAGTAGCATTTGTTTATGCCTTCCATTGTGAAGCATATGGCACTGTGCAATGTAATTATTTGAGAATCTGTTTCAGAAATCCAAGAGTGGATTGGTTACTTTTGTGCACCTGAAGATATCTGTGTTCACTTCTCTAGTGAGATGTTGTAGTATTGTGTGACCCCTCCATCAGAAGTCACAGCCTGAGTCCTTAACCATTTCCCATTAACAGGGTATTGTGTGACAAAGCCAGAGTTGATCTTCAGACTGGAGCAAGGAGAAGAGCCATGGGTATTGGAAGAAGAATTCCCAAGGCCAGGCTTCCTAGGTGAGTTAATTTGTACTGCACAAACATCAGAAGAGTCTGCAGTTAATTCAGACTGGCTACCCTGAAATTTTTTTGAAGAGTATCTCATTTAAGGACCTAGCCTCTATTGATCTCCAAACTCAAACTTCTAATGCCACTCTTGAGTATTTTGGGATGCATCTAAAGCATTTTCTATTTTTATACCTGGTATTATATTGAAGTTTTTCAATCTTCGCCCTTGCTTTTCTTGGCTACTTCATGTTCCTCAGAGCCATCTCAGTTTCCCACTTACTTCCATTGTGCTCTCCACTTTCTGTTGTCAGACATTCTTTGATATATTCATTTTTTGACTCATAATTTTTGCTGTGTGCTAGTCACTTTTTAAGAGCTGAGAATATAGTAGTTAAAAAAAAGAAAACAACCCTAACTGCTTTTATAGAATGTCTTAGTTACTTTTTTCTTTTTGCTGTGACATAATACCTGACATGCAGAGTTAAAGAAGGAAAAGTTTATTTTGGCTCACAGTTTGTAGAGGTTTCAGTCCATAGTTGGCTGGCTCCAAGGCAGAGAGGCGTTGCAAAAAAGCAGCACAGAGGAGAAACTGTCCATGGCAGGCAGAAAGCACCAAGTGAGAAACAATAAACAACAGCCTTCCTTCTATCCCTTATAGTCTATCCAGGCTACCCACTGTTAAGGCAGGTAGCACTCAACAAAATTCCCATTATTCACTCCCAAAATTATGCCAAACCAATCAGTGGACTGATTTAATAACCACACACTCTTGATCTTAGCATCATATGCCCTAGATCCAGCCACCTCAGAAAAGCCCTGCTACCATAATACCACATGAGGCTTAGAGGGGACAACTAGATATAAGCCACAATTCAGAGGTAGTACTAAAAACATAAAGGTGTTTATGGTGTATTGAAATTTCTGTATGATAAAGACTATCAAAGAAATCAAAGCCAATGTAGATTGATGGAGTGTACTTTGAGAATAGGGAAAATCTTAATGAAAAAATAATTTAATTTTATTCATGCCTTATGTAGTTCCAGTGCAATGTGTTTATCCTTTTAATTTTGAAGCATAAGTACACTGAGTATTGTGCTGTAATTATTGGTAGATTTTCAGCAGATGAACAGCATATAATACATATTTGTTTAAGTTCTCTTTCCATTCTATAGAGACTATATTGGGGTGGAGAGGTTGTCCAAACAACCCAGTTAGCTGTCATCAGTGTACTTCACAGATTTCTCAATCAAAGTAGTTTCAGCATCTTCCATTTTCTACACATCTTAAAGATTGTCTCTGAATTAAATAGAGCATGGAATATATATTGCAACCAAATAAAATATTAGGCTGTGTTTCTGCATTTTAAAATCAAAATGAAAAGTTGGAATGCATCATAAATATATTGGCAATTTATTTTTGTAATTTGTAAGTACAGATGTTTATGGAAAGCCACTGTGAAAAGTCCACTTTTCACAGTGGCTTTCCATAAACATCTGTACAACGTATTAAACAGTGAAAGGAAGAATGGTCTCTGTCAGAGAATAAGAACAATGTGAGAATGTCCTCTGGCCACTGATATCAGACATTCTAGATGTGTGTCCTCTGATTTTTAAAGGTGTTTTGGATAATTAATACTTTTGTTGTTGTTATTGTTCTTTGTTTTTATTTTTTTGAGACACACTCTCACTTTGTAGTTCAGGCTACCCCTAAGCTGTGTAGCCCAGGTTGGCCTCAAGACCGTGAAAATTAATTAGAGGACAACTGTATTTTTCTATGAACATGATTATGGTGACTTAGAGTAAATTGAAGGCATGAGGGTAAGAAGAATTTTTATTACCTCGATGTGTAGAAAGAGGGTAATAACTAAAGAACTAACAGTTGTAACAGATAGAGAGGGGAAGGGCAAAGTATTTGAGGAAATAAAAGCTGAAAACTCCCCAAATTTAGCCAAAGACAAAACTACACTTTCAGGAGCCTGACCTAATATCAAATGACGTAAATTCAAGGATATCCAAGCTGAAGGAACATGATGACTAGATTTTAATCATTAGCCATAATTCATCAGTCATAATGAAACAATGCATTGCCTGTAGCTAATGGCAGCATGACACAGGGATGTACCATCAGACAGGTGGTTGCTAAGCCATCTGTGGCTGCTAAGCTACTTCTACAAAATGACTAGAGAAAGTTTTCCACACAGAAAGCAAATAATACAAGACTTGAACCCTTAGAAATTGAAATAACTATAACACATTGCTAGAATTTAAACAAATACAGTTAATAATGCATAAAAATATCCAGGCATAATGGAGAAGACAGAAAAGAACTATATATGGGTAACATTTGAGTTAAGGTAATATAAATCTGGAATCAAATATGAAATATTTGTAACATAAGTCCTAGAGCAAAGATTAGAAAAGTAAGTATTTCATATAAGACTACACAGAAGTGGATATGATAATATTAAAAGATGTTAAGCTTTTTTAGTAATGTAGAAATATAGGACCAGAGTTAAATACTTTATACCAGTCTACATGAAAAGAAATAATAGGGTGTGGTGGCACATGCCTATAATTCCAGCACCATGGGAGGTTAAAGCAGGAGGATTATAAATTTGAGGACAGCTTGGGAAAATTAGGAAGACTGTGTTGCAGAATTTAAAATTAAATAAATAAAAAGTTGTATGGATGTAGCTCTGTGCAAAGACCCTGGGTTTAGTCCCTCATATGCCCCCACTAAAAAAAAAAAGGGAAAAAGAAAAAATGTAATCTAATAATATCAGTTATTGTTGATAGTGCGTATCAGTGGAAATTCTTTTTTTGTTTGCTTTTTTTTAAAAAAAGGGAATAAAAAATAGTAAAAAAAAATACAGAATTTCACTAAATACAATAATAAGTCAACAATGGTTGTTATGTTGCATATTGTTGTTTTCCAATTAGTTGTTCAGATTACCAGATATAAGCATGTGAAATTGATCAAAAAATTTATAAAAAATTAAAAAGGAGACTAAAAAAATGGAAGCATTAACTGTGGCCTTTAAATAGACCTGAAGAAATCAGCAGTACAAATATCTGAGCTATCCTGTGTATATACGTTTCTTTTTCCCTTTTCTCTTTCCTTTATCCCAGTTGTTCTTTCCCTTTGAACAGTTTCTTTCACTTTCACAGTATCTATTATACCTTTCAGATTTTATTTACTCTTTTCATTTTCTTACACTAGGGAGATATGATATTACACACATGAGTCTTCATCTGTTTGAAATATATAGTACATCTCAAGGTATAAAGTATAAAACTAGATCAAAGGAGATATGTGTATATATATGACACTATATATAGTGTCATAACTCCACCACTTTGGAAAAGTTTTATCTGGGGGGCCAGTAAGATTGCTCAGCAGTGTAAAGCACCTGCTTAAGGCAAGCTTAGGCAGGCCCAGGGGACCACAGTTCAATCCCTGGCACCATATGTTATGCCAGCCCTGCCCTCCAGCCAAATAAATAAATAAATAAATAAATAAATAAATAAATAAAGAGTTCTATCTGTGTGGTTGAATATATACATCCCCTTTGATCTAGCTTTTTACTTATACTGCATCTTTTGAGTTGTACTGTTTATTTCAAATTGATGAACCTGTTGCCTTATTTTTTATGTATATATGTATTTATCATTCTTAATATACCATTGGTAGATACTTTTAAAACTATAGAAGAAAGGTAAAGAGTAAAGACAAAATATACCATTCTACTTTTTAAAATCAATAAACAGAATTGTACCTTAAGATTTGTGTCAGAATAGTCCTCCCTGTCCAGCCAAGAAGCAGTAACAAGGACTGGATTTACTTTCCCATCTGAGACAGCCAGGTCAGTCAGAGGAGGTACATGAAGCACTGACATTCAAGCATTGATCATTATACAAACAAGGACATACTCAGAGCTAAGACACAAGATCTGATCCCTCTGCCCCACAGGGTAGAGACAGCAAACCCAGCAGGGATGGCAGACCCAGACAGTGCTCCGTACACATACTGAGTAGAACATTGGGAGCAGTAAATTTAGAGAAGTTTAGACTGCTTACAGTTTACACAGGTGCTATCTGCACGTAGACATGCCTGGCCTTCTGGACTATTCAGCAAAGTACTATTAATGTATGTTTGTGAGGAAATTAGTGAAAGAACTTTTTAAAATAATTAGAGGGATGAGGTTGTGAATTAAGGCAGGAGACAGGAAAAGGAATGTTGCATGACTGTCCTGCTACAAGGTTGCATATGGTTAGTTTTCTGGACTTATGTGTAAACGTAAGAATTATATAATTCTGTATGCCTATTTTTAAAATATATTCTAATTAAAAAAAATAAAATAAAATAATTAGAGGGAATAGTGGGCAGCACTTGAACAGGGGGCAGGGACTGTTCCCACCAGCCAGAGTGAAAGTTCTTTCTTTATAGTAGACTTGAGAGCTGAGAAGGCCTTGCTCAGGACTAAGGTTCAACACTGTTCCAGATTTGAGCAGAAAAGCAAAACATAAGAGTATCACATTTTCTAGATGTTTTCAGTGTGTCTTAGTTGCTTTTCTCTCATTGTTGAGAGAAAATACCTGACACCCAAAGTTAGAAAGCAAAAGGTTTATTTAGTTCACAGTTTGTGGAGGTCTTAGTCTATTTTTAGTTGACTCCAAGGCAGAGTGGCACATGGCAGAGGAGCACCACAGGGGAGAACAGTTCATGGTGCTCACAGGATAGCAAAAGCAACAAGGGAGGGGGAGACAAGACTTTTTGTGTCCCTTACATTGTATGAAGGTTACCCATACTGGGGCTAATGTAGTACTTATACCCTTACTCCTAGCCAGAACTATGCTAAACCATTCAGTAGACTGATTTACTATTCACACATACTAAAGCCTAATGTTATACCCTCTAGATTTGGCCATATAATGGTGACTTGAATTTTCTGGGGCTTTTTCCTTCCCTAGTTATAGTAGTCGTGGGTTGTTACAAGTAATTTTTTTTTAATTGAGAAACAAATAGCAATGAGACAGTTTCAAAGCAGGTTAGTAAAACAGTTACAATAATTAATACATTGCATATTATTGTCTTCGTGGTAGTTTTTCATAGTACAAGATGCAGATGTGATATCCTGTCCAAACACTGTTAGTACAAATCTTTCTTCTCATTGAATTAAGAGAAAGTAGCTGTATATCTATCCTAACTATGCTGTATATAGATACAAAATGGTCCTTCATTTGTATCCTTTTTTGTTTAGTTTTGTCAGAGATGGGTATTCCATTGCCATTTTAATATTGTAGGTGTGTGAATTCAGCAAAATAATCCAACATAGTCCAGTAGTCTATAATAGTAGTGGGTTATCTGTAGGACTGGCAATGTCAGAAGTTGTTGACTTGAGCCTTTTACAGCTCAGCATATTAATATGGCTTTACTTTTTATACCTCATATTTATACTTTTCTGGTGGATGGTTAAGACCAAGATAAAACAAGACTTATATAACAAGAAATGTAACTTTTGTATCTGACAAGGTCAGTCAAATCCCCTCAGGATTTACCCTGAAACCTTGTACTCCAGTTTGTAGATCCTTTCTCAGTGTCAGCCATGTGGATGAGTCATGGCCTATTACAAGTAATGTTATGAGCTTGCCTAATGTCAGTCATCATTATTTTATGGAGATTGCATGGAGAGATTTAAGTTATTATTAATACTTTGAAAACCAAAAATATGTGTTCTGATAGCCAGATTCTTTAACCTTTTCCCACTATATCAGGTTTTTTGTTTGTGGAGGCTTTTTTTTTCCCCACCTCAAACCCTTGAAATAGAGAAACTATATATTTTGATTATTTGCAACTCTAGAAATGGAACAAAACCTGAGCCTTTACTTTAAGTGTAATGTATTAACTGTTAACTATTAACTATTGTTATTCTATAATTTTTAAATAAATTTT